CCCCAAAACCCCAAAACCCCAAAACCCCAAAACCCCAAAACCCCATAGACATAGATAATTGAAAAATTATTAAATTATAATTATAACTTTAAAATGTAAAAATAATCTCACAAAGTCGAAAAAAGTGGGGCATAATAATGCTAAAAATGTCTCAGATTTGGACATTGGACTTATGAGTGTAAAAATGAAGCAGCTTACGCTTATCGCCCATCAAGAACGACTATTATCAAGAATCCTGACCTATAACCAGAATATGTATTTGAAGCAGGACCAAAAGGACCAAGGATTCATGATGGAGATAAAAAAAGAAGTACAATATTGCATAGTGAAAGTTCAGATAGTGAAAGCTCAGGAAGTGATGATGAGAAGCTTTAACAAGAGCTGCTCAAGCTAATATAGAAGCATTAAAAACTTGATAAGAAGAATAAAAAAGGAGGCGATTCTTCTTCATCTTCTTCAAGTTCATCTAGTTCAGGCAGTGATTCATCAGACAATGATTCATCAAGTGGATCAGATGATGAAGCAAGTAGTATCTCTGAGGAAAGTAGTGAAGGTGAAAAAAAGAAAAAAGAAAAATCAAGAGGTAGTAAATCATCTCACAAAGATAATATATAAAAGTAAAAAGAGGCTGATAATTAAACAAAAAGAAGATCAAGGAGTAGAGGTGATAGAGATCTAAATCATAAAAAGAGGGATGATGAGAGATCTTAATAGAGAGAAAAGGATTAAAATAATCATAAAGAGAGGAGAAGATATTCTAGAAGTAGATCATATGAGAAAAAGAGAAGAGATAGTAGAGATGATTAAAGAAGAGATAGAGAAAGTGGTAGAAGATGAAATCTCTATTGAGAATGATTCGATAATTAAAATAACCTAATTAAATTTCAAATAATAATTTAAAATGTCATCATAATAAAGTTCCTAAGTTGCGGAGTTCTGTTGGTAAGATAGAGAGATTAGATTCGATATCCCTATCGCCTAACTTTAACCTAGAAAAGGAGAAGTCATTGTTGATTCAATAAATTCTGTGGAAGACACAAAGGGAAATAATGGAGATAAGGGAAGCATTTTGATAACAAATCTAAGGCTAATTTGGTTCTCTGACTAAAATCAAAGAATCAATCTATCTGTAGGTTATGAATGCATCTTGAATACAGGTATAATATGATTTACTAATATTTATAGAAATAAAGGAAACAAATTCTTTAATTAAAGGAACAACATAAGCCTTATTCTTGAGAACTAAATATTAATCAAGCAGATATGAATTCATCTTTACCTCGTTAGTAAAGAATTCACCTAGACTTTTTACATCTTTTCAAGCTGTTATTAGATCTTATGAGACTTCTAAACTGTTCAGAGATCTTAAACTTAGAGGAGCGATTGTGTAAGATAAACAGGTGATTCTCTTACCTAAAGAACAAATATTTTCTAAATACAATGGTGTTTGGAATCTAAGTGCAGAGTAAGGTAATCTGGGATTATTTATCTTAACGAATGTGAGAGTTGTTTGGTATGCTCAGCTTGCTGAAAATTTCAATGTGAGCTTACCTTGGGTATAAGTTAAATGTGTTAAAATTAGAGAAAGTAAATATGGTATGGCGTTAGTCCTTGAGACGTCGGAGTTTTCTGGGGGTTATGTTCTAGGATTTAAAGTTGACTAATTAGAAGAAGTTTATACAGAGGTCTTGAATTTATTCAAAACTTATTCTCAAAATCCAATATTTGGAGTCGAGGTGACATTCGAGGATGCCGAACAAAATATTGAAGCAGTAACTATACCTAGATAGGAAGATAATCTTGAAATAATTGATAATGAGTATAAGGGATTTGTTTCTTTGAGCAAGAACAATTACTAAATGGGAGGTAAAGAGGAAGAAAAATAATCTATGGATGATATTAAGAAAAACATTATGTTTTCAGAAGAGATTGGATTAGCGATAGAAAGGCCTCCTAAAGGAATGTCTCTTGAATAGCTTTGGAAAATTGTGTGATTGAATTTCCTCATTAATTCTTTCTTAAAAATTTAGTTATTCAAATGTATCGGGGTTTTGGGGTTTTGGGGTTTTGGGG